GGGGGGGCTTTTTTGGGGGGTAACGTGGCCTTTCCCAGCTCGTAACCCCCCTGGGAGCGCGTGGCAGCCAGAGCCCCGAGCGGGCCGGGACCTGCAGATCCCCCCACACCACACAGGGTAGGAACTTCTTCTCAGCCACCACCAGAACAACCCGAACCACCACCAAACAACCCAAACTACCACCAAAACAACCCAAAACAATCCAAAGCACCACCCAAACCACCACCAAAACCACGCAAAGCACCAACAAAACAACCCAAAGCACCAAAAAACCACCCAAAGCACCATCAAAACCACCCAACCAACCCCCAGACAAGCCCTGGAGAAAACAGGAGCAGCAGTTCAGTTACACGATGGACTCTGCAGCCACGGCCCTGCCTGGGCATGGGGGACCCCCCCAGGGGGCTGTGGAGAACATGCAACAAACCAAGGAGTAATAAATCAAACCAAGAAACATAAGGAACATTTACAGCAGCCCCAGGAACACGAGGAACATGCAACAAACCAAGGAACATGAGGAACATACAGCAAAGAACATAAACCAGGAACATGAAATCAAACCTGTCCTTGTCCAAACATGAGGAACATAAGGAACATTCCACAAATGAAGGGTCATACAACAAACCAAGGAACATGAGGAACATAGAACCATGGAATGGCTTGGGTTGGAAGGGAACTTGAAGATCATCTAGATCCAACCCCTCAGCATGGGCAGGGACACCTCCCACTAGGCCAGGTTGCTCCAAGCCCCATCTGACATGGCCTGGAAGTCTTCCAGGGACGGGGCAGCCCCAGCTTCCCTGGACAACCTGTTCCAGTGTGTCACCATCCTTATGGTGAAGAATTTCCTCCTCATGTCCAACCTCAGTCTCCCTTTTCCAGTTTTAATCCATCCCCCTCATCCCATCACACTTGCCCTTGTCCCAGGTCCCTCCCCAGCTTTCCTGGAGCCCCTTCAGGCACTGGAAGGTGCTCTGAGGTCTCCCTGGAGCCTTCTCCAAACACCCCAACTCTCCCAGCCTGTCTCCAGAGCTGCTTCAGCCCTGGGGTCATCTCCATGGCCTCCTCTGGACTTGCTCCAAGAGCTCCATGTCCTTCTGGTGTTGGAGGCTCCAGAGCTGGTCCCAGTTCTCCAGGTGGTGTATCTTGAGTATGGAGAACATAGAACAACCAAGGAACTAAGGAACATAAACCAAGGAACGTTAAAGCAGAGACCATGAGGAACATAAAGAGCATTTACAGCAGCCCCAGGAACATGAGGAACATAAAGGGGACACAAGGAACATCCAACAAACCAAGGAACATATAACAAACTAAAGAACATTTGCAGCAGCCCCAGGAACATGAACATAAAGAACATAGAACATGGAAAATACAGCAAAGCAAAGAACATGAGGAACATTAAAAGAACGTGGGGAACATGAACATGAGGAACATACAGCAAAGCAAGGAACATAAAGAACATAACACAAGGAACATGAAAGAGACATAAGGAACATACAACAACCCCAGGAACATAAAACAACCAAGGAACATACGACAATCCAAGGAACATAAAGAGCATTTACAACAGCCCCAGGAACATGAGGAACATACCAAGGAACATGAAATCAAATCAAGGAACATGAGGAACATAAAGAATATTCCACAAATGAAGGGTCATACAACAAACCAAGGAACATGAGGAACATAGAACCATGGGATGGTTTGGGTTGGAAGGGAACTTGAAGATCATCTAGATCTATCCCCCCAGCACGGGCAGGGACACCTCCCACTAGGCCAGGTTGCTCCAAGCCCCATCTGACATGGCCTGGAAGTCTTCCAGGGATGGGGCAGCCCCAGCTTCCCTGGGCAACCTGTTCCAGTGTGTCACCATCCTTATGAATTTCCTCCTCATGTCCAACCTCAGTCTCCCCTTTCCAGTTTTAATCCATCCCCCTCATCCCATCACTCTTGCCCTTGTCCCAAGTCCCTCCCCAGCTTTCCTGGAGCCCCTTCAGGCACTGGAAGGTGCTCTGAGGTCTCCCTGGAGCCTTCTCCAAACACCCCAACTCTCCCAGCCTGTCTCCAGAGCTGCTTCAGCCCTGGGGTCATCTCCATGGCCTCCTCTGGACTTGCTCCAAGAGCTCCATGTCCTTCTGGTGTTGGAGGCTCCAGAGCTGGTCCCAGTTCTCCAGGTGGTGTATCTTGAGTATGGAGAACATAGAACAACCAAGGAACTAAGGAACATAAACCAAGGAACGTTAAAGCAGAGACCATGAGGAACATAAAGAGCATTTACAGCAGCCCCAGGAACATGAGGAACATAAAGGGGACACAAGGAACATCCAACAAACCAAGGAACATATAACAAACTAAAGAACATTTGCAGCAGCCCCAGGAACATGAACATAAAGAACATAGAACATGGAAAATACAGCAAAGCAAAGAACATGAGGAACATTAAAAGAACGTGGGGAACATGAACATGAGGAACATACAGCAAAGCAAGGAACATAAAGAACATAACACAAGGAACATGAAAGAGACATAAGGAACATACAACAACCCCAGGAACATAAAACAACCAAGGAACATACGACAATCCAAGGAACATAAAGAGCATTTACAACAGCCCCAGGAACATGAGGAACATACCAAGGAACATGAAATCAAATCAAGGAACATGAGGAACATAAAGAATATTCCACAAATGAAGGGTCATACAACAAACCAAGGAACATGAGGAACATAGAACCATGGGATGGTTTGGGTTGGAAGGGAACTTGAAGATCATCTAGATCTATCCCCCCAGCACGGGCAGGGACACCTCCCACTAGGCCAGGTTGCTCCAAGCCCCATCTGACATGGCCTGGAAGTCTTCCAGGGATGGGGCAGCCCCAGCTTCCCTGGGCAACCTGTTCCAGTGTGTCACCATCCTTATGAATTTCCTCCTCATGTCCAACCTCAGTCTCCCCTTTCCAGTTTTAATCCATCCCCCTCATCCCATCACTCTTGCCCTTGTCCCAAGTCCCTCCCCAGCTTTCCTGGAGCCCCTTCAGGCACTGGAAGGTGCTCTGAGGTCTCCCTGGAGCCTTCTCCAAACACCCCAACTCTCCCAGCCTGTCTCCAGAGCTGCTTCAGCCCTGGGGTCATCTCCATGGCCTCCTCTGGACTTGCTCCAAGAGCTCCATGTCCTTCTGGTGTTGGAGGCTCCAGAGCTGGTCCCAGTTCTCCAGGTGGTGTATCTTGAGTATGGAGAACATAGAACAACCAAGGAACATACAACAGTCCAAGGAACGTTAGAGCAAACCAAGGAACATAAAGAGCATTTACAGCAGTCCCAGGAACATGAGGAACATACAACAAACCAAGGAACATCCAACATAAAGGGCACTTTGAGCAGCCCTGGGATAATGAGAAACATAAGGAACATAAACCAAGGAACATGAAATAAACCAAGGAACATGAAATCAAGGTACATGAGGAACATGTACAGCAGGTCCAGGAACATGAGAAACATAAGGAACACAGAACAATCCAAGGAACACAGGGAAAATGAAGGGCACTTTGAGCAGCCCCGGGAACACGAGGAACATCAAAGGAACATAAGGGGCACTTGGAGCAGCCCCAGGGACTTAAACATTTACAGCAGGTCCAGGAACATAAGGAACATAAACCAAGGAACATAAGGAAGAACATAAAGGGCATTTTGAGCATCCAACATGAGGAGCATTAGGAACATTTACAGCAGCCCCAGGAACATTTAGGAACATTTACAGCAGCCCCAGGAACATGAAGAACATTAAAAGAACATGCAACAAACCAAGGAACATAAAGGGCACTTTATGCAGCCCCAGGAACATGAGGAACATGCAACAAACCAAGGAGCAATAGAAGGAACATTAAAAAATAACATGAAATCAAACCAAGGAACATGCAAGCAAACCAAGGAACGTGAGAAACGTTCACAGCAGGTCCAGGAACACGAGGAACATAAGGAACATAGAACAAACCAAGGAACATAAACCAAGGAACATGGAATCAGACCAAGGAACATGAGGAACATTCACAGCAGCCCCAGGAACATAAGGAACATAAACCAAGGAACATGAAATCAAACCAAGGAACATAAAAACATTTACAGCAGGTGCAGGAACATGAGGAACATAGAGCAAACCAAGGAACATAAGGAACATAAAGAGCATTTACAGCAGCCCCAGGAACACAAGGAACATGAGGAACATACAGCGAAGAACATAAACCAGGAACATGAAATCAAACCAAGGAACATACAACAAACCAAGGGACATTGACAGCAGCCCCAGGAACACGGGGAACACCCGGCAGGTCCCGTGGCCAGACCCAGGGCCCTGGCAGAGGTGACCTGGGAGCCTCGGGACGTTCCTGAGGGAGCAGCTGTGGGGCTGTGGTCCTGCCCCCAGCCCCACCCCGGGTGCTGGCTGTGCTGTGCCCCTAACAGTGGCCCCCTGTGCTGCAGGGCTGCAGTGTGAGGTTGGTGGGACGTCCTGTCTGAGCTCTGCTTGTCCCTCTTGAGGCACCCAATGGTAAGAGAACCACGGGATGGGGGGAGGAGGTTGTCCTTGTGCCCCCCTCCCCCCAGCTGGAAGTAGCTCCTGGGCCAGCATTGGGACCACCTTGGAATGGACCTGGATGGAGCCCGGCCAGGCTGGGGCAAGAGGAACAGCCCTGGGGGACACGAGTGGCTGTGGGTGACATGAGTGGCCGTGGGGTCACAGGAGTGGTCATGGAGGGACATGAATGGCCATGGGGGGACACGAGTGGCTGTGAGTGACATGAGTGGCCATGAGATGACACAAGAATGGCTGCAGGGTGACAAGAGTGGCCATGAAGTGACACACAAGTGGCTGTGGGGTGACCAGTGCAGCCGTGGGGTGACGAGTGGCCATGGGGTGACAAGAGTGGTGACAGCAGTGGCTGGGAGGGAACACGAGTGGCCGTGGGGTGGTAGGAGGCACAGCAGTGTCCCCGAGGGTGGGGGGCACAGGGTGGGACCCTACCCTCTCTGTTCCTCCCTCCCAATTGGCTTGAGGGGGGGGGTGCCTGCGGGGGGGAGGT